CCTCGACAGTTGATACATCTTTGAACTTGTGATAACCAGATGATTGTCAGTGTCGCGATTCGTAGATCGGTCTCCTACAGGTATCATCCGTAGGTTGGGTAGAGCACAGCGAAACCCATAGGTAGATCAATTTAAGAAAAAAGTTCGCGCTAAGTCCCATACCGGACATCTATGGTGGCGTTTCCTACCGCACATAGATGTAATTTTAGCAAATCACGTGTTTTTGGGCATGCGAAAGATGTTTTCATCGTAAACCGTTCTGTACTCAGTGTATAAAATGTGAGATGCGTATGTTGTCTGTATAGTCCCGTAGGGACGGCATGTTTATGAGAAGCATGTCAGACCGACAGAATATTCAGCAGATCCCTGTAAGGGCGGCATGTTTATAACTTTTCGAACGCTGTAAAACCCTAATATTGACGCTTATAGCTGTGCGGTTTCCTAACCGCCACCGAGACATTCGAGAAACCCTCCCGCTGCTCGCAGCGTCTGAGACAAAAATGAGCGTCCGTGATGCCAAACCAGTGTGTACCCCCCGCGCCCCACGCTTCACCTTGGAGGTCTCACTCAGGTTCCCAACTGACACGCGTTTTTGTTAGGTCATGGTCTCCGTTGCTCAAAAGAGTCGATCGTTCTTGTGTTAGCCCGGGTTCGGTTAAGGAATGCAGATCGCATTTTGGGATGAGTATCACCGCAAAACCGACCTACTGGGTCCTAGTCGGTCAATCCCTAAATTGACACCCTATTGGTAGAGCACAGCGAAACCCAATATTTTAAAAAATCCCAAATGAAGCACCAAAACCAACAGTTACATATTGAGGTGAGCGGGCTTTCCGTTGAATTGATGCGCAAGGATATCAAGCATTTTCTTCTACATCGGTGTTCATCCGCCAAATGGACGTGTAAGTTTATCAGCCCCTTTTGCGGTATGATGACGATGCTGTCCGGATGGCAAATCATTTCACCTTAGGATGGATTCGGCGGAGCAGGCGGAGGGTTTGCGAAGCAGGACCGGCAATCTCAGCGAGAGTTTTGACTGGGGAGAGGCACTTATTTTGTCTGGCAGACGTTACCAGGACTCGATGTTACCGAGCAGGACTGTCCGCCAAAAGGTCAGCTGCTCAACAGTACGAGGATCGGGTTAATCGTGCGTCCAGGAGCCGATCGCGATAACGGGAGGTTGTGTTTCATAGATGGTAACCGTGAGCACCTACGCTGGCAATTGCCGCCCTCCTTGCTAAATTGGACCGCAGATAGGTTGGACGTCAACAGTGTACGATCAAGAGATGAAAACCCTTTGGGGGTTCTTGCAATATCAATGGCAAAACGGATTTGGCTTAACCTTGAACTGGGCGAGAAACCAATTTCTTGTCTGTGTAATGTCTTAGTAGCACACGAGATGGTTCATCTGCTGGAACGCGACGGTATGTGTTAACGATGTTTCGTGGGTTTGATGGCGGCTTTTTACGCAGTGGCGAACCTACCGAGACGAACTGAATAATGGCACCATGGGGCCACGAAAATTTGGGAGTATTGAGGACGAGTTTGGAGAACCTTTAATTCGCCGGTTGTCTACCAACCATTCCAGGTAAATTTACACGGGGATTAGGGTTCGATGTGGAAACACACATCCACCTGGCCGGATCTTCTCCCCGAAAAGGCTACCATAGCCAATCTCGCTTAGGAGCATCTTACTATACAGCCCGCGTGATAATAACGTCGGAGATTAAGCTCTTCAATATTAAATAAAACCTCTGAGATAATCTTGAACTCTGTGTTTCTAACTAATACACCACATTTGACCGACTTGAATTTACTTTGGGAACAAGACTGAGATCATCCCAATACCAAATGATGTAGATACCACCCTTGAAGTTTTATCAAAATATCTGTCATTTAAATAGCTCGAAAAAAAAAGGATTTAACTCAGAGGATAGAAAAAAAAAGAAAAAGCTGAGTTTATACCAATATTGCTTGGATTTTTCTGCCAATGTACCATGTATCGTGGTTTACTCTTTTTCTTCCTTATTTCCCAAAGCACCCACCAGCAAACGTTTATTTCTCTTGCCCTTTATCTTTTCGATGACGACTGAGCAATCATGGGGATTGGGAAGACGATGGTCGAGTTTTTCTCTGCACTAACTTCCACCAACGCCTGCAGGAATCGGAGTTGCACTGCTGTCGGGGTTTTGCTGAGGATATCAGCGGCATCGGTTAAGACTTGTGCGGATTCAAATTCACCTTCGGCGTGTATGACTTTGGCGCGGCGTTCGCGTTCCGCCTCCGCTTGCTGCGCCATCGCGCGTTGCATCTCAACCGGGAGATCTACGTCCTTGATTTCCATCGCCAGTACCTCAATACCCCAGGGTTCACAATGTTTTTTGACGATAGCCCCCAAGTCCTGATTCAGTTTCTCGCGTTCAGAGAGCAGATCGTCGAGTTCCGCACGTCCGAGCACACTCCGGAGGGTTGTCTGCGCGATTTGAGAAATCGCAAAACCGAAGTCCTCGACTTCGATAACCGCCTTATCGGCTTCGGTTATTCTGAAGTTAAGCACGGCGTTGACGCTCACGGAAACATTATCTTTTTGTGATGACATCTTGAGGGTGTGCCATCGTTTACGATAAACGTAGACTGACGCGTTGCATGCCGCTCATCCAGAAGGTATCCTAAACCCGAGCACACGAAAAGCGGCGCGTCCCCATCAGATCGCGATACCCGAGGCGAAAGATAACGGCGCGCGTCGTCTACTATCTATGAGATCCTAGACGCTAGTGATCGCCGCATAGATGACATCAGTAGATAGCAAATCAAATAGAGTGGGTCAATTTGTGGCATTATCGGTATTACTATAGTATATATAGCATTATAGCGGTGAATGTTCGTCGAACCTCTCAAAAAGAACGTTTTGCCGTGGCGCGATTGTTGATTTGCCACTGCACCGGGACAGATTGGTAACCGTTGTCATAATCGTTTTCACCTGGGTCAAAATATCCCCAGGATGCGTATTGGCTGACAGCAGCGACGAAGTTGTTCAAGGGTTTATCAAAATCGAAATGAGATCAGTCCTCGTTGAAAACCCCACGATCGGCATCGACGGCTAACACGCCGGCACCATCGCGCAGTCTGTTGGCCACTCTCAAGGCTATACGGATTCGGGTCTTGACCCCATTCCCGTGGACGAGCAGTGAATCGGGAACGCGACAACATTTTCCAGAGTGGCACCACCTGCACCGCCGTAAACTCGTTTTCTCCTACACCAGCGAGGAATCTGTGGTTCCGTTGTTGCGTTTTGCTTTCACTCCGCTCAATCATTCATGTAGCGCCGTTGGGGTTGTAGAATTTCATTGAATTCTGAACGTTCAGTCGTTTGTTTACCTCAACAATAACGTTGGTATAAAAAGCCCGATTGTCAAGAGCCATCCAGCATAGCTTGTCCAGGACACGTTTGACAGCGTTTTCGTCGGTCAATCGATGGTCTTGCCCGAAATAGAAATAACCGAGAATGACAACCATACCGAGCGCGTCGGCAAAATCAATAATGCGTTCAAGCCGCGATAGATAATCAGGATTTAGGCTGCCATCGGCTTCAATACCGGAGTTGTGCCACGGCTGTGCTTTAGAGTAGCCTTCAGGGCTCCCGCCTTGGAGGTTGATAGTGAACGCCAAAACCCCGTGTGCGCGCCATATCGGCATCGCGGCTAAAAATTCACGGGTATTGCGTTCGGGGTCCCATTCTCCGGTGTCTGGGTATTCCCACAGGTGTATAGTCTCCGGATTCCGGTCATCGAAGATGCCTTGCACCATGCGGGTGTTGATCAGCAAACCCTCGATCTTATTATCTTGATAGAAACGCCCTGGGTAGGTAATTTCTCCGTTAATGTAAAATGCATCGTCAACGATACTGCCGCTGTCTTCATCTCGTCTTCCTTTCCATTTGTACGCCTATCCAAACGGTTTCATGAGGGTCCGCAAATAATTTCGGGTGCCCGCTAACGAAAAACAGTCCTGCCAATGCGGTGCTTCCGTAATTAAAAAATTCCTACGGTTCATGAATTGCCCTACAATGGCGTTCTGATTAACGTGAGCTCGACTTAAGAAGTTAGAGTCACCTTGCTTGATATACGATGGCTATCGCAGATCTGATAACACAAGTGTACCCGCACTCCAGCGGAGTGCTATTGCTTCGCAGTGAGAATAGAAAACCCGATACATAAGTCTTCGCACTCCAGCGGAGTGCTATGTGCCGCAACACCACATAATACCGCTCCGCTGGAGCGAAAACGCCTCTTTGGATGCCTGCTATTCTCACTGCGAAGCAATATTGCTCCGCTGGAGCAAAAGACAGGCGTTTTAGGCGTTGCGATGGGTCTGCAGTTCGTCCAATTGAGCCAATGTAATGAACCAATTTATTATACCGAGCTCACGTTTGATTAGCGTTTTAATAGAACCCAATCTTGGACAGTCATGCTTACTGCGTCTTCTGTGAAAGTGCTTTAAAATAGCGTCGCAGCTGCTCCCGATACTGGAACGGAATGTCCTCAAGCTCTTTTGCATGAGGCGTAGTTTCTAACTTCCGAACGATTTCGAGGAGCTCAGGATGCAAAGGAGGCACTTCTTGTGCAGGCGTTTCAGGTTTTTCGCCATCTCGGCTTTGCGTTGTTTACCGACATCCCGCTTTTGTAACGATTTTAAACTATCAAGCATCCGCGTCAAAATTTGCTCCTGCCTATCAAGCACCTGTTGGTCGAGTTCGCCTTGCCGGAGTGACTGCTCAACCCCTGTCATCTCTTCAGCGACCTCTTCGAGACTTCCCAACATTTGTGCCATCTGTTCTGCGCGCTCAGCGAGGCGTTCGGTCGCTTCCTTGATGAGCTGCTGTTGCGCAGCGAGTTGACGCATCATCTGTTCAAATCCTGGGGTTTGCCCTTGCTCTCGCATCTGTTGGCTCAAATTTTGCGCCATTTGATTCAACTGTTCCTGACTCTCCGCAAGTTGTTGCAGCTGCTCCAGCATGTTTTCCATGCCGCTGGCACCCATCTGTTGGTTCATCTGTGCCATTGCGTCAAGGAGTTCAAAGATAGCCTGATTCAGATCGGCAAGTGCCGTTCTCTGAATTGGCATAGCGAGACTGGGTTGTCTGTCCTCCAAGGCGCGTGCAGCACGGGAGAGCGCGTCGTTTGAGGCATTCAGATGCCACACAACCTTGGGCGGGACTTCCATTTGTCGGTTGCCGAGTTCCCAAAGCTTAGTGGAAAGTTGCGCGATACCCTCTGCCGTGCTGAGTTCATCCGCTGCAAGATTTTGCAATTGCAAAATCTCACTCGGAATATAAACCTCTGCCTGCCCAGCAATGATGAGACCGTTTGTTTTAGAGAACACTTCTTCATGAAGATGCGAGAGATGAAGTCCGCTTTCAACGGCTTCGCGCATAGCAGTCAAGGTTTCGTTAGCGTTCGCGCCTTCCATAAATTCCAAAGCATTATCCAAGCCTTGTGCAAGTTCTGTCAGCGTCTGTTCCGCGTCTCTACCAGATTCAAGTGCCTCTGTGTTCTGTCCACTTCGGAGGTTCTCACTGGTAGTTTCAAGGTCTTCAGATAGGTTCTGATCCTTAGCAAACTGGTTGAGGCGTTTGACTTCATCTGCGAGCCGTTCTATCTGTGGCGGTGCGTTCTCCTTATTCTCCGCGAGTTCAGCCATCTCTTCTGCCGAGTTCGTCTAATTTTTCGCTAAGCCTACCGAATTCTTCACCGACGCGATCCTCTTTTTGTGCAAGTTCGTTTGCAGATGTGGATTCGGGTGATGTCTCCAAAGTATCCATGAGTTCCTTCTGTTGTTCAGCGAGTGCCTGCGCCTGTTTAGCGGCTGCTTCGAGTTCCTGTTGAAGGAGAATCTGTTCATAGAGCGACTTGGCGCGTTCCAACTGCTGTAAAAACTGCTCTTGGCTGAGATTTGCCTCCATCATCGATTTCTCCTGCTCACTCACATCCTGCTTCGACAATGCCTCAGATAACTTCTGCAAAATCTCTTTATGTTCCTCGGAAAGTGCCTGCTCCATCAGTTTTTGCAGTTCCTGATACTTCTGTATCGTCTCAGTGTCAAAGAGTTGCCTCTGCTCCATATCCTCCGCTGTCTGCTGCATATCTTCAACTAACTGCTTTGCCGTCTGCTCAATCTGCTTCTGGTTTTCAAGCACCTGTTGCATCAGGTTTTCATCGTTGAAAGAGAGTTCTTGATTCTTCCTAATTTTACCGAGGAGCGTGTCAATCAAACCGGTTGCATCTGCCTGCTCATCAACGAGTTCTTCAAGACCTCGTTGCTCTGTTTCCTGTTCGGTCGCAACTGAATCGTATAATTCGGAGAGTGACGGGAATCGAAGTGTATAAGTTGGAGATTTACCGATATTCGGACCTGAGACATTGTCGTTATCCAAGGCTTGGACATAATAGGCAAGTACTTCACCCGGAAAAATGCCAATCCGATCCACATCCCATCTGTATGCGACAGAAACCGATCTGCGTACAGGCGCGTTCTCTACGCCCCATCGTTTTAAGGGGACGTTTATCTCTTCGGCACCCTCTGCCTCAATACGATATACCAGTTGAAGTGCTTGTATACCGTAGTCATCCGTTGCCTCCACCTTTAGGTCTACTAACATAGCATTATCCAAAACGGTGTCCCGCGCCGGTGAAACGATATTGACATCAGGTACGGCATCTTTGAAAACGGTAAGCGTATAGTTAATAGGATCGCGATTTGTAAAACCCTCAACATCGGTAATTTGGATACGGTAGTTTCCACTCTCCTGTGCAATAAAAGCTCCCTTGCATTGTCCGAGGCATAGAATTCACTTCCGGCACCTGTCCGTCTCCGATCAGCTGCGGGGTCGTCTCCGGTAGGTGTCGCGCTGCGATCTCCAATTCGACATCGCTGGATTCTTCAAACGCGAGGGATGCCTCCTTAAGTGGTTTGTTACTTTCCCCAGTAAATATGATCTCCGTTCCGAAGAGCGTCTGTATATCGCCCGTGTTTGCTGGAAACGTCTGGGATTGCAAACGTGTGTAAGCAGGGTAGTTAAGCCGATACTGGAATTGAGTGACAATCGGTTCGTCGCTAATCATTATTTGATACTCTGCCGATGCTACCTCTTTGACAGAAATATAGTATTGTAGCGGACGGTTAACATTTTCGAGCGTCACATCGTAAGACAGAATAGTTTCTGGAACTTGTACGTCGGTCGCGCCGTGCATAGGGATTGATTGCCATTCTACGGCTGACGCGTTCTGGTTGCCGTCTCCGATACGGTAGTAAAGTGTAACGGGCGCGCCGATGTGTCCGCTTACTTTAGCGGCGACGTTAACATCGGTGCCGCGTTCAACTTGTGTGTTGCCGGGCTGAATTTCTGTAATCTGAATGGCTTTTTGTAGATTTCCCTGACTGTCTGGTAGTGTCTTTGGTAAAGTCTGGAAGGTTGTCGCAAAACCGTTGAAGGCGTTGGGCAAGAGAAAATGGGTGAGGAGCAAGAGACCTACGCCCGCGACAGCGATACCTGCGTTGCGTTTAATTTTCCGAAATTCGGTTTGAAACACCTGTCCACGTTGAATGTGTTTCATGTCTTGATCGGTCTGGATAATGAGATGTTCAATGAATTCCGGGGCATAGCCAAGTCGATTATCTGCCAAGTTCTTCCAAAGTTGGACGGCACTGAGAATCCGGTTTTCGGATGCGAGTTCGCTTTGTACTTGTGTCAATTCAAGGCGCGATGCGACTGCAGCGTCTGTGAACCTTCTGCTGAGCGGTATAATAAGCGTCCGGATCACGACGTAGATGGCAATGCCAATCGATAATAAGAGAATACCGATACGTACCCAGAACCAGAAGGAAGCCTGTGGAACTTGGAAACTGACGTTGAGAATGACGAGTGTGCCCACCATGACGAGTATCAGAATACCGACGCACTTCAATAAGCCTTCGGAGAAAGTGAGCCACCACCATTGTCGCCGGACAGCATGTAAGCGAGCAATTAAGTTTTCGTAAGCTTGGTTTACGTTTTGTCTATCCATTCCATTATCCCTTTAATGTGTTAGCGCATACACAGCAATATTAACCGCCATCTTTGCGGCGAGTTCCCGGACTTGTGGCGTATCCTCTGGGTGTACATCGGCATCTTCAAGACCATCACCGATATCAGAACTGTAAACGTAGTAAACAACCATCCGTCCATCGTGAAAGAGCCCAAATCCTTGTGCTGGCTCGCCATCGTGTTCATGAACTTTCGGTAACCCTTTCAGCGCATAGAAACACCGGTAAATTAGATGTGTACTCGGTATCGGTTGTAGTTCTTGTTCGGGAAACACCCGCTGCATTTCACGTCTAAAACTTTCGTCAAGTCCGTAATCATCGTTGGCAAACAAAAACCCACCGTTCATAAGGTAATCCCGTAACGCCTCAACCTCAGCTTCGGTTAGTTGAATATTTCCGTGTCCGACAAGGTATAGCATCGGGTACTGGTAAAGCGTATGATCCGTTAGTTTCAGAATTAAGCGGTCCTCAGCGGTCTCAATATCCGTTCGCGTTCGGAGGAGCCTGAGCCAATTTTTAATAACAGTTACGTCTCCATACCAATCACCACCGCCGCTATAATGAACCTGGGCGATCGTCATTGGAATCCCAGAAGCGAGCAAGCTTTGTCCAATGTGTCCACCCACTGCTGTGAAAAATAGGAGGCAGCCCATTAAAAAAGGGTTCCGTCTTATGAATCGTATCATAGCACACTGCTCCGCTAAGTCAGCCCGATCCGTTTGCGTAAAAACCATTCTGTGCCTAACAATCCGATGACCGTAATGAGAATCAACGGATGGCTCCAGAGTTCTCGCTCTGCATCAACAAATATCGGATTTTGGACCTCGGCAACATTTTCTGGTAATGATTCCGCATCCACCATGGCAAAATAGGCACCGCCCGTTCCGGATGTGAGTTCCTTCAAAAGATCTTCGTTGAGTTGCGGCACCTCCAATTCAGCAAGCTGTGGATGAACATGAATATCAATTTGATCTTCGCCTAACGTCTGATTGCCTGTTCTCGCGGTTGCACGGATGCGGTAAGTTCCATTCTGTAATAATGAAAATTGAGCACTGTAGAGATTTCCTGTATCAGTAATGATCGCGGTTGCGGTCTCGGTTATGCCGCGGATCTGGAGTTGGAAAGGCGCGCCTTCAGGCGGAACAACTTCAAATTGAACGGTTGCATCTGTCTGCGTAGCGCGGTAGGCTTCAGAATATAGGGACGCCGTAACCGTCGCTGTGTCTCCTATAGCATAACTGCTGGCATCTGTAGTAAGGTGCAATTTATCGTCATCGGTGTCCGTTGCCATCCATCGAAGCACCTCTGCCCAGAAGCGGGCATAGATGTCTTGATAACCGGTATCTCTAAAAGTATTGACCCCGAAATCCCAATTCCAGAGTCCTTCTGCTGCAATAAGTAGGCTTTTGCCTAAACCCGCTCTCTGCAGAATCAGAATAGGATCCCCTTTTCCGCTTTCCATAAGCCGGGTCGCTCCACCTCTCAGGCGAAACCCACTAAAGGATCGAGACAGTGCTGGCATGTTTCGCCACGCCGATGCGTTATTACTGGCTAAAGTCGAAGCTTGATTTTGTTGCGTATCCACAAGCTGCAACATCGGGTGAAACATACCGGATGCGGTCAGTTGTACAGTGAATTCAGTATCGTGTCTACGACAGCCGTTTCTCGGAATGTCAATCGGCAAAAGCTGCGCCAATTCCGTATTTAGGAGTCCATTCATACTGAGCATTCTGCGAGAAGGGAGAAATATAATCGCTTTTCCCTGTATCTCAACGAAATCAACAATTGCATCTTGCTGTGCAGTGGTAAGATGTTCATCTCCTAAGTCCCCTAAAATCAACACATCGTATTTGGCAAGCTGCGTATATGTTTCAGGGAACCGCGGGGTTTCCGATGTTGGCGTTATTTGTGGATAATATCCATCTAAACCACTGAGGACGCTACCAGTCGGTGGAAACCGATTCGATTTGTTCCGTAACAAGATTGCACAAGTAGCCTCAATATTAGGATCTCGTTCGAGGGCGCGTTTTAGATATGTGTACTCCCATCTCGGTCTGCCTTCGAGATAGAAAACGTTGAGTTTTGCTTTCACAACTTTACTGAAAACGTCTTTTGATTGTTCGCTTCTGTCAATTCACCATCAAGCACCGGAAGTTCAACGGTATATTGAAAGTTTCCTTCAACCTGCGGTGTCAATTTCAATTCAACGACCTGTGTTGTGGTAGCATTCGCGGGTGTTGCGTTCGGGGACTGGTTAAAGGTTAATGTCGCGGTATCTACGAGGGTTTTACGCTGCATCTCCCGCAAAGAGAGTCGTGTCGTTTTACCAGTATAGCCTGTTTGTACAACCGTCACACGGATGATGCTCTCATGGTTTGTATAGGCAATTGGTGTGTAATCGATATGTTGAATCTGAATGTCTTTTGGGGGTTCCACAGAACCGACCCCTATTGCATAGACTGGCACGTCCAACGCGGTAACATCTTCTAAAGGAAACTGTCCAGAGTTATGTCCGCCATCCGTAATAAGCACAATCCCCGCAGTGTTTTGTCCCTTCCATGCGGCTGCCGCTTCTCGTATAGCTGTTCCAATATCGGTGAGTGTTCCGTTCGGTTCAAACTGTGGTAATGTTTCGGAATCGAGGTCTTGTGGTAACACCGTGCTTTGATGAAGTCCTGTATCAAAAGGATAGAGATGCACCTCAAAGCGGTCATGTAGTGCTTGTAGGAATTGTCCCTGCTCATTGAACAGCAGTTGATTCACTTGACTCAACCGAGACGTGGATGTGTCATTTGTAGGTGCATCAACGAGTTGCATACTCTGCGATGTATCCACTAAAATGGAGAGATGCGTCGGTGGTGTGATGTCCTTCTTTTCGATGATAACCGGTGCTAAGAGACAACAGAGCAGGATCGACGCTGCACAGATCCGCATCGCGATGAGTAAAAATCGATACCTCGGATGGATAGGATGTGTCATCCGCAGGTAAACAAATACAGTTACGCCGATAACAATGCCAATACCGAGTACAACTGCCCATCCGGGCAAAAAATAGGTGAAACGCATATCTACTCCAATCCCTTCTGCAACATATTATAGTCTAATTGGGCGATTGATGTCAAACGGATTTTGGTTTTTGGTTATCAGCTTCTTGTAGGAGCGACCTCCCGATCGCGACACTCACGACCCCCTGATCACACTAATTGCCATTTTGATGACCGCTGACCACTGATGACTATTCCTCTAACAACTGATAACCATCCCTCTGAAAACTGAAAGGCGACGCAGTCGCCGTACTGATAACTGATGACTATTCCTATGATAACTGATGACTATTCCTCGAAATAAGTTTGACAATTCGTGATTTACTATGTTAAAATATGTTTAAAATAAATTGCCACAGAAGTGGAGTAAAGCATGGCGGAACAGAATGGTATGGAAAATGTAGTTGAAACTCAAGAGCAGACCGAGGCATCAAGTGGTATTATCATTAACGCTGCGCAGCTGCAGTCGCTTGACATTAGCGATCGGTTCACACGGACGAAAACAACAACCGGTTGGCGCATTAAATTGGAAGCACCCGCTCGCGTCACTGTCGGCTTTATAACGAGTATGCGGAAGCTGGAAATCACACTCTTGCAGAACGATTGTATTGAACGTGACGGCGACAACCTAATTCTGATGCGGAGTCACCCTGCTGACGCGTATAATTCACAAAGAGGTGTATCGTCATCGCCGCTCGCGCGGCCGAGTAAACGCTCATCGGCTTCTGAAGAGTCTGAGAATTAGACAGTCTGATTCTCTTTGCATCAGGAAAACATAGGGGGTGACTGCCCATTCTGGAACGTATCTACCGACTTCTCTCAAGTTTAAAGGGTGGAACAATGATCCCTACAGAGGTAGTGCTGAGCCCACAAAGCTACGCGCAAGTTGTCTCTGAACTCGCTGAAATGCTTGGTTACGAAGGTATATCGCATTTGCAGCTTGCGCATCATCTCGCCTTAACAGTTTCTATCCAACAAGAAAATACAGATCTCGTTGTCCTGAAAGAGTTGACCCCTAATCCGTGTCCAATCTGTCACCGTCGCCTGACATTCCTTCCGGAAACAATGGATCGTTTTGAAAATGACGGTTCCCAACAGATTCGTTGTTCTATGGGCCACCGCTATCCGGGTGAACTGAAGGTGTACTACCTGGACATTTTCCAACACACCGCGGGCAGCGAAGTCGAGAAACCCGTGAAGGTGTGTCCAGAGTGTCAGGGTGAAAACATCCAGTATTTGGCAGTGAATGTAATGTTTTGCCTTGATTGTGATTGGGATAGCGGGATGGAGCCACGGTATAAGATACCGAGTGTCGGAGAATAATCAAGGATTCAGTTCAGTGGTGTTGAGTGGCGCGCTTGTACGCACACCATACATGCCAATTTAATAGGACTTACGCATTTCCTCTCAAAGTCCCCCTGATAAGGGGGATTTAGGGGGTTAAATAACCGAAATAACGACGCTTTTGGTGAAATACCTTGCTTGTTTACGCAATTTGCGTAATACCAAATTAACCCCATTTGTAGCGCGAGGTCCCTGTGCCTCGCAATGCTGACTTGATCAAAAGACTTCTAATCACGTTAATTGGGTATAAGTCCTGTTTAAGGAAAAACAAAAGTCGCGGCACCCAAATACGGTAAGCGCTGTTTTGCGGCGTACTCGCCCAAAACCGAACCTACCGGGCCTGGAGGACCGCTAAATTGATACCTATGGAGCGGTTGCAAACCGCACCGGATATACAGACCCCAAAGCCCGGTAGAAACGGCATTTGTAGAGATGCTACAACCAAATGCCGCGAAATATCCCAAATCGACATCTATAGCGTGCCTCTAAGCACACCAATTTAGGAATAGGTTTTAATGGAGGTGGCCAGCATGCGGATCCGCTGCCTCAGCCATACCCGGTGGTTCTTCAATCTCTGTAATGAGAGTTTCTGTCGTTAAGAGTAAACCTGCGATGCTCGACGCGTTCTGTAGCGCGGAACGGACAACCTTCGTCGGGTCAAGGATCCCTTCCTCAAGCATGTCGCCGTATTCAGTTGTAGCGGCATTGAAGCCGAAATTACCTTCACCTTCTTGGACTTTGGCAACGACTACTGAACCTTCCATCCCAGCATTCTCGGCAATAGCACGGACAGGTGAAAGCAAACTGCGGCGGATAATATTGAGTCCGGTCTCTTGGTCGCCATCCAATCCTAAATTACCGACGGAGGCTGCAGCTCGCAGTAGTGCGATGCCACCGCCGGGGACAATCCCCTCCTCAATAGCGGCGCGCGTCGCAGCAAGCGCATCTTCAAATCGAGCCTTCTTCTCTTTCATCTCCACTTCTGTAGCGGCACCAACGTTAACAACAGCAACACCGCCAGCGAGTTTCGCGATTCGCTCTTCCAACTTCTCCCGATCATACTCAGATGTCGTTAGCTCTATTTGCTTACGGATCTGCGCGACTCTTCCCCTCCACATTCGCTTTCGCGCCACTGCCGCCGACGATTGTCGTGTTATCCTTGTCAACGATGACGCGTCGGGCAGTGCCGAGCATACCGATAACAACGTTTTCCAAGCGGATACCCGTCTCTTCAGAAACGACTTGCCCACCCGTCAGGGTTGCGATGTCTTCTAACATCTCTTTGCGTCGATCACCGAAACCAGGGGATTTTACTGCCGCAACCTGGAGTACGCCGCGGAGTTTATTCACGACCAAGGCTGAAAGTGCCTCGCCTTCTACATCTTCAGCAATAATGAACAGCGGTCGCGCAAGTTGCACCGCCTTTTCCATAATGGGTGCGAGGTCCATTACTGTGGAAATTTTTTCGGTGTTAATGAGAACAAACGGGTTCTCAAATTCGACGACTTGTGCTTGTAGGTCCGTTACGAAATTCGATGATAAAAAACCGCGATCAAACTGCATCCCCTCAACGATGTCAACCATGGTTTCTGAGGTGTTACCTTCCTCAATTGTGATCGCACCGTCATTTCCAACTTTCTCGATGGATTCAGCCACAATCGTACCGATGTTGCTATCGTTCGCTGGGTCATTCGCAGCTATTGAGGCTACCTGTAGAATTTCTTCATGCGTATTCACAGCACGACTCTGTGCAGAGATTGCATCAACAACGGCACCCACAGCTTTATCTATACCGATTTTCAACTGCATCGGGTCGGCACCCGCCGTGACGTTTTTCAGACCTTCATGAAGAATTTCCTGCCCCAACAGCGTAGCAGTGGTCGTTCCATCTCCGGCAACGTCGTTTGTTTTAGTGGCGATGGATTCCAGCAGTTGGGCACCCATATTTTCGTACGGGTCCGGGAGCTCAATTTCTTTTGCGACGGTGACACCATCGCAAGTTACCAACGGGGCACCGAAAGATTTTTGGATGACTACATTTCTGCCGCGTGGACCAAGGGTAACTTTCACGGCATTAGCGAGCGTATCAGCACCGCGTTTGAGTGCTACCCTTGCTTCTTCGTCAAAGATAATTTGCTTTGCTGGCATTGAATTCCTCCTGTATTAATTTTATGGTGAAGCCTATAAATAAGTGGACATCTTTGTAGCATAAACTGTTAGTTTGTGCCAGTGTGAATGCTCGTTAGCAGCATTCACACTGTTTGAGAATGTCTAATTAATTCTGAAATCTACTATAAAGTGAGTTTGACTCAACAAGACAGATGCGTTCAAGTGAAATCGAACGTGTACACTTGAATTCCTATTATCGAACGCACATTAATTTTAGTGTTGTAATATTCAAGTATAAGAAGCGTTGCGATTAAAATTCGCTCCTATAATTATAGCATACACGCTGCCTAAAGTCAATTTTTTATAGTTATCGGGTGTCAGTAGGCGAGGTTAGGACTGCAGATCGCATTTGGGCCAGTACGCCGCAAAACCATAGGTATCAATTTTAAGAACAAACTACTGCTCATCGATGCATCGTGTTGCGGGGTTGACCGATGCACACAAAAACGTTAAAATCATAGCTAGAAAAACGAGTTTTCTCCATACACGCCACATTGACCAGAAACCGAGTGAAACCCAACGCTTTGGTTGTGAAGCACCCGAAACTCTGACGGTGTGAAGTTGGGTTTCACTCGGTTCTTGAGTGTTATAGTAGCATACCAGATTTGAGGTGTGTTTGGCGCATCAATGTCCACCGCCTCAGTTCCGTTCTACCCAACCTACGGGAGCACGGAAACCCTAAATTGACACCTATGGTGCGGTTTTGCGGCGTACTGGCCCAAATGCAATCTGCATTCCTAACCTCGCCATTGTAATTGTGGGCTTTACTATAATAACCTAAATTGCTACCAACAGATTTTGGGCGTTTCAATACGGTTTTTTCAGGCACTTTCCCCACCAGATGAAGATTCACAAATAACTGGGTAATGGTAATTAGGGCTCGATCCCAACCCGGTAGTGCGGTTCCTACCCACGCCCGGTCCCGACAGGAAACCGTAAAATTCCCGTTTAAATACTTAACCTCATGAGGGGTGATATATCTATAGAAATGGCTTATGCAAGCGACCACACCCCGGATGAAGATTAAGGATTTAAACGGGTAATTCTGGGAAGTGTGACAAACGGTTTTCGGACGACAAGCAGATCAGTTCGTAGTAGTGCGATTCTGCGGCGTACTCGCCCAAATGCGAAGTGCATTATCGCACGTCGCGTAACTACAATTACCCAATTTATTTGTTAAACTTCATGAGGGGTGCTATTGCTTCGCAGTGAGAGTAAACAGGTAGCAACTTGCGTTATAATAAGCAATTTTGTAAAAGACGATTGTCAATCACAGAGGGTAATCATAATCCTGAAAATCCTTGAATCCTGTGAATCCTGATTCTGACAATTAACATCGCACATTACCCAATTAAATTCTTAATCTTCATCAAACCGCGCCTACTGGACCTGGGATCAAGACTATTATTCTCTTAAACTGACAGCACCAATATAACCCTTGTATTCAATCATAACATAATCCCAACAGAAAACAAGATTTTTATTTTTTCGACGACGGAACCGCAGGTTCGACGTATAATGTCTTTTCGCGTGTATAATGCACGTAGCCTGCGACGTTGCCCTTCCGTTTCACGACATACCGCGCCCATGTATAGTCAACCGGAACATTACTCGCATGATGCGCTTTGCTGTAGTAGGCGGCGAGTCGCGCGGCTTGCAACAGTGTCGGCATCGGGATGTCTGGACGGTTTTCTGGGTTGCGGATGATAACATGCGAACCGTGAATCTGTTTGGTATGGAGCCACATATCATGCGGTTTGGCAATCTGGCGCAGGAGTAGATCGTTCGATTGGCTGTTCTTTCCAACATACATCTGGAAACCGTTGGTAGAGGTATATCTTCGGAAGGGACCTTCACCTACCACCTGCTTCTGCTTTCCACGCTGTTGTGCCTTGAGATAGCCGCTCTCGACAACTCAGCGCGAAGCCGCTGCAGTGCTTCCAAAGTATCAGCGGATTCCAACTTAGACGTATAAAGTTGGAGCGTCTCCTGATCCGCATCCAAGTCTGAGATGAGCTGCTGGATGCGAGAACGCCCGCGCTTCGCCTTTGTATATTTCTTAAAATAAGCCTGAGCGTTGTCGGAAGGGGTCTGCTCTGGATTGAGGTGAATCGTTAACTTTTCGAGTTCAGGACTATAGTAGTTCTGCAGCTCCACCTGTGTCTGTCCACGGGTGATAGTGTGTAGGTTGGCGAGGATTAATTCACCTTGAATGCGGTAATCATCAGATTTCTCTGCACGTTCCAAATCGGTTTGTAATGCTTTCGCTTTTCGACGGAGTATCCCCTTCTGCTTCTTTAATGCTTGTGTCAGCGTCCTGTGTTCCGAAGCGATGTGCTCCTTCAAGGTGATCGCGTCGTAGTATGCACAAAACGCATCGCTCATTGTGTCGAATGCTTGAGAGGTCGCATTCGGAAATTGCTGCAGCGGTAGTGCCGATACTGCGATTGGCTCGTTGCCATCCGTGAAGAGTTGCGGTGAAACGTGCTTCGGATCGAAATAGGTGATAACCTGCTGATAGGCATCCCAGAGTTCTGTTTCAGCTGCGCGTGCCACGACCTCTTTCGCGAGTGTCGGACTGAAACCGTCAATGTTGTTAAAGAGTTGTTTCCAACTCACCTCTTCCTGTCCACCAACTATTTTCGGTAAATGCTGCCTTGTCTAACGTCAACGGATCCACTTTTTCCTGTTGCGGTGGCAAAGTGTATGTCTCACCCGGCAAAATTTCTCGGTGTCGGCTCATCGTCTCGTCAATACGTTTTGAGGCTTTCCAGAATCCTGTCGTCGGTTGCATCTATCAGAATGATGTTGCTATGTTTGCCCATCATCTCTGCGATAATAGCTTTCGGGGATAGCTGTATCGGTTCATCGGAGACCGGTTGGACGGTTATTTTAAGGATGCGATCCCAACCGAGTTGTTCAATCTCAGTAATAGTCCCGCCTCTGAGATGTGTTGTGAGGAAATCTGCCAGATAAGACTGTTTTTGTCCGGGTGGCGGCTTTTGAGTGAGATGGGCGCGGGCATGCACCGAGTGTGCTGATAAGGCGAGCCAGTGCGTCTCGACAGCGCGACTAATCCTAAATGAAAAGGTATGTGCATTCGCCTGTTCAATGTGTCGAACCGTGCCGCCTAAAAGGGCTTGGCGCAGTTCGCAGGTAACAAGGCGGAGTGCTAAACTATCATAAGACATAGGAGATGTTCTCTTCGGGTATTACCTAACGACTGTTATTTGAAGGCATCCGGTCAACATTTATAGTGAAATCTACTGTGGCATCCATCTTGAATTTTAGTGTGGGTTCGTAGTCGTGCGATTCTGCGGCGTACTCGCCCAAATGCGAAGTGCATTATCGCACGTCATGCAAGCCAAGATTACCCAACTTATGGGTTTTACTATAGATGATGAATCTATTCCCATAGGACTTACGCAGCTGCTTCGTAAGTCCCCCTGATAAGGGGATTTAGGGGGTTTAAAATCAAAAAATATCGTCCAATGTGCTAAATTTGCGTAAGTCCTGTCCCACACTCCAGAGGAGTGATATATCTATAGAAAACCCAATGCCAAAGTTCTCGCACTCCAGCGGAGTGCTATGTGTCCTAAAAACATACGCCTACGGAGCTATAGAACCGTTCGTAGTCGTGCGATTCTGCGGCGTACTCGACCAAATGCGAAGTGCATTATCGCACGTCATGCGATCCAAGATTATCCAACTTATTTCTTAATCTTCATTAGGAGCAATGTATGCTTTTGAGTTGGTGTGTTGAGTTCACTTTCGTTCAAACCAACCTACGTTATACTTGGATTTCTATTACCGACCCCGCGTTAATGGTATCGCTTCAAGTTTTGTGTCACCCCGCGGAGTTGTTTCTGAATTTCTGTCGGTACACGCGGATTAAACGGACCACCGGTCCCCGCAGCAATGTCATCAAAACCACTTAAGATCATCGCCTCGATCACGGCAGAATAGTTATAGACCCGCTCGTTCATGAAACGGATTTCCTCAAGCGGTGCGATGTCTGCCTCAATCCGTGCGGAGGTCTCGTAATCGCCGCGCCGTTGTGCGTTGTTAATCTCATCCGAGGCACGCGCAAAAGCGACGGCTATACCAGAGGTATGTCCTTTCGCCCCTAACTGTGCAGGCTGCGTACACCTGTCCCCGATACCCCACATCACAAGCCCGCTATCGCCTACACCTTCAACGAGTGGCTCGACATCCTCCTCACCCGTCCCGATCTTCACACCAATGAAATGCGGTGAGTCGTTTAAAAGGCGGATGACTGCGGATAAGTCGCGCTTCTGACGGAAATAGTAGAGAAACCGCGCGCCACAAGCGGTCCCGTATTTCTCACCGAATTCCATGTACTGTTGGTAGACACCCTCCGGATTAGAGACTCCGGTCAGCGGCATGAGCAGATAGGCATCTGGGGGTCTGTTGAGTTCTGTCTGTACCTCAATGAGTTGACCGGCTTGGCGGATAGGATTAGGGACAATACCGGATATAAGGAGACCGTCGTCGCCTATTTGTTGTCCGGTCTTGTCGATGAGGCGAAGCTGCTCGGTTTCACTGATATGATGAATCAGGCTGGTTCCGGCGATCGCAATGACGCGCTGTCGTCCTTCATCAAGGTAGTTGTTGCGCATCAAATAGTCGATGTTTTTGGCATGTCCCGTATAATCAATCTTGTCTTCTTTGAAAGGGATGATAGGAATCGCGGTAACCGAATTAAGTACATCCAAAAGTTGTGGTATTTCTAATGCCATAGGTACTCCTTTAGAACTTACGCCCTGCTTCTTAAAGTCCCCCTGATAAGGGGGATTTAGGGGGTTAAAAATATGGAAAACACCGCTTTTTTGTGTCCAAATGTCCGATATGTGCTCAGTTTGCGTAAGTCCTGTCCTTATCAATCTTCCCGCCAAGACCCCATGCTTTAGCTTGTGGGATATAGGCGGGCGTTGCGTTTGAAAGTTAAAATAAATTTGACTTTTGCCTCAAAATGTGGTATAATTATACTAACACTTGGACACCGCTTTGACCCTGCACGCTTGTGCAGGAGGTGTCCGCTTCGGTCAAAGGAAGTCAAAAGTGTTAAGTGTGATACCACTCAAAACATATATCGGTAGCGGTCATGTAATAGCGCACGCGAGGTCAAATTCGCGGTGTCTTGTTCCGCTACCACCTCATTCAATTTTGCAGGCGGGGATAGCCAAGAGTGTTCGCCTTGATATGCCTACAGTTTCTGTAGGGAATCGCCTGCTGGTGGAGACAACATAAGACGGTTGACCTTCGGGAAAACTGCTATTGTCTGCGAAGCCAAAGCCCCATGCTTTAGCTTGTGGGTGCTATCACTAAAACCTTTTCCGCAGGACGAGCGTGCCTATCATTGCACCTGTTGAACTGTCCGTCTGGACATCTATATCAAATGTGCGGGTTCGTGTTTCAGAGATCGGACTTTGTAAGCCTGCATTAAAGCGTTTGGTCGTGATGCGTGCCTCCACAGCACTAATAACATGGTTTAAAATCGCCAATCCTAAAAAGAATTTCGAGCGTTCAAAGGTATCGTTGGCTTTTTGCCGCAAATCAAAAGCGTCCAATCGGTATTTTGACCCAAGACCTCTCTCCTCAAGCACCCTATGATTCTCATCTTTTAAGTCTGAATCAAGATCCTTCCAATACCACTTTCCAGTGCGCTCAAGGGTTTTTTGGCCTGCAGGACTCTTATCATCACTATAATCGTTATTCCACGTTTCATACTGCGTAGCGTGTTCAAAATCCTCAATCGGATCCCAATCTTCAAAGGAACCAGCACCGATAAAAATAACGTGATCTCTGACGACATCCCGATAGTCGTCGCGTGTGTTTGCAGCCGAGCTTCGCAGAATAAAAAAGGTTGCGAGGAAACCGACCTCTGCCGCGGTGTAGACATAACCGCGCTTGGCACCCGTATAGAGTTGCCCCATGCCCGGAATAACAAGCGAATAAAGAAATGCTTCATTCGCGGATTTCCGAGGTTCAAGTGCTCCGCTTGCCGCCATAGTGACAGCCGATTGGTTCGCGAGTGAGCGAGTACCGAGTTTAGAATCCAGAGCAAAAGCTGCGAATGGCTGTGCAGTGAAAACATCAGCAGCAAAGCAGACACCAGACGATAAACACAATAACAGTACAAGTATCAAAATTTGGGTGTTAAATTTCACTTTTGGTGTCCCCTCTTAAAAGATGACTATTCCAGTCACTTCGATAAGCCGCTGATTATTTGGACCGAAACTCGGACCGTAACTCAAATCAAGATTGAATAGGTATATCTTCACACCGATACCACCGGTAAAATAATCTGTGAAATTCGGTAGATTGATACCGGGTTCAATCTTATAGCCGACCCGGAGCGCAAGGATATTACCGAGCCAGTACTCCAAACCGAGATTCTTTTGGAGATGTCGCCATTCAAATGCCCGGATACCCACCCCTCGGTCAGAAAGCAACTGTTCCTGCGTGAGTTTTTCCGCTCTTTCGGCGTTAAGCCGTTCCAAGTCAATCGCTAATTCATCTTCATCTTCTGTCAATTTATCAACATACGCTGTGACACCACTGACAAAACGGACGTGGTGATACCTATGGCGATAGAGGCTCGTAGATGTACCGATGCGTAGAAACCGAGGTAAGGGATCCGCTTGGTTTTCATCAATAAACGAGATACCGGGGCCGATGTTCTGAATTGCAGCACCGACCGTCGTCGGGATGAAATCAAATGGTAGGAGATATTGCATGCCGAGATCAACGGCATAAGAATTTCCGTTCTCGCGTCCGAGTACCATCCGAATAACTTTCGCGTTGATGCCTGCCGATAAGGACTCCGTAATCCTGTCCGCGTATGAAAATGTCAACGCGAAGTTGGTACCGAGGCTCTCCTCGCGAAGGACTTCGGGAGAATCTGTCGTAACAGGGATGGTGCCCTGTCCTTGCATCTGAAGCGTTGCGCCGATGGTTCCGGCATCACTAAGGGGCATCGCACCAGCAAGGAAGGTATAGTATAGCCCTTCACCGGCTTCCCCGAAAGGTCCGCTATAATCTGTATAAAACATTGAGGCTTGCGCCGCTTTTTTTACCGGATCGAAGTCTGCTTTCAGGCATATCAGCGAGTCCGCTTGGATTCCAGAGGGTTGTCGTCACATCGCCAGACATCGCAGAAAATGCGTCGCCGAGGGCTCTTGCCCGTGCACCGCCGCCGAGATTCAATATCTGTGCGCCGGTCCGTCCGGGTCCCGCGAGTGTCGTAACCGGAAGCAGGACGGTAAGCGATAGAAGCAGTATGAAGATTTTTCGCATAGAAACGTACACTGAATTGTAGCTCCTCTTGTCAATCAAAATTTAATTCCAACCTTATTATGTATTTGTTTGCCATACATATATCATAACGCAATTGACCTTAAAAACGCAAATCGCTTTAATTAGTTTACCTTTACGGTTCTATCTACTGTTTCAGAAAGGTCGTTATTCAGAAAACCCTCCTACAAGGGAAGGGAACGCTGAATGCCAAAAATTGGACACACTCTATTTTCTACTTGACTTTGTGTCTTTTATCTACTACGCTATATCATCAGAGGCATTCAGTTATCAGCGACCAGTCCTCAGTTTCACCATCAGCATCAGGATTTTCAGGATTAGAGATGTTTCTGGATTGACAACCGTCCTTTAAAATTACCGAATTATTTTATTAAACTTCATGAAACCGCGCCTACCGGGCCTGGGGACTGAAACAGGTCGAGGTTACAAACCTCGCCAGCGATGTAGCGGAAAGGCAACTGCTGCAGACTGCTTCTCAGTTCACAAAAAA